GGGAATACGGTACAGGGAACAAGCTGCTGTGGGCAAAAGTCCACGCAAGAAGGACTTCTTACCATTCACTTCAGCTCTTCTGCAGCACGTGGTGATTCTGTCCCTTTAACTGCGAAAAATTTTGATCCCTGCAACCAAAATAAGAATCAATGGCTGCCAGCACCTAACAGAAATTTATTTGTTCTGTGGCACCGGTGGATCACAACAAGGACATGTAATAAGATTCCATGCAGCAATTAAGATGAGCTCTTGGAATGAAGTGTTTGGCAATGCACTTCAGGCTGATTATGAAACTGTAAGTAACAGAACCCAAAACTCCTGAGCAGGGAATTGTACCCTGTTCTCTGCACTACCCCTCCTAGTCTAAACGAGAGCCCTACCAGAAAATTTACTCAAAGCTCCTCCAACAACTAATGACTGCCATACATTCTACCAATTAACGTGGCTTGACAGTAAATTCATCACAGAGAAATTGTGCTGATGAGGGGCTGTCACCACAAACTTGAAATTACTAAAAACAATAAAAGATTCCTATCAGAAAGATATTATTAATATTTTACCACTCCACTTTTAAGTAACTCATCACTCATAAAGTGAATGAACGCTGAGCAGCTGCTGAGAAATGACATGCTTTCATATTCTGCATCTCAGTGAAATGTCCTCAGCTTTGATCACGGCTGCTGTTAATCCTGGTGTTCAAGACTCTCCTTCACAAGTCCTGGAATCATTGCCCCTCAGAGCCAAATGAATAATTCTACTTCTGAATTTTTAAGACATCAGCATGGAGCTCATTGCCTAGACATCTCTTCCAAATTGGCAAAGACAACTTTGTATTCTAAAGGTAACAGAAAATGAAAATAAACCCAGTCAGGACTGTCTGACTTCTATTTAATGCCTATGACTTCCTCCTGGATTGCCACTCGCCCATCTCTCACCGTCTTCCTCTCCAACAGCTCTGCAGCCATTTGGAGCATGAAAGAACACGGACTGAGAGAATGCCTCAGTGATGGTGAGGCAGCGAAACAGGTCACAGGACAGGGCCAGTGAACGGATGAGTGGTGCTGCACCTCAGCCTGCCATCTAATTAGCACTCAGACAATGAAGATTTTGGAGCTTTGTCTTCGTACAAGAAAAGCAGTTGGCTTCCTTTTAGAAAAAAATATTTCCGTCACAATTTTTCTTTCCTTCCTGAAATCCTTACAGAAAAAGCAAACTCAAACCATCCAGAAACAACCTTTTAAGCTTCTCTGATATCTGTTCTTCACTTTGCTTACTGCCACTCCATAGAGTGAGTACCAGAAGAGACCTCCTGACCAACGACTGATGTCCCATCCTTCCTCTACTCACCATCCTTTCTTTCTTCTTTATTCCAAACCATCAAATTTACTCTGCCCAACCGGGGAGGATTTTTGACAACGGTCTGTTGGAACAACGTGCTTCAGATAGGCAGTTTCATTGTTTGCTTTGCTACAGAGTGGACAAGTTATTACAGTGATTTGGATCAACTCAAAAGAAAACACGCATGGGGAAAAGCCTGATCTCTGCAGACCATGGGGCCTTTCTTTGTGTCTGTTATTATAAGAAGGTGATGCTGGGGTCACTTGCTCTAGGGTTTGCTATAGACATGAACAAGGAGTAAATTAAAATTAAACACACTCAATATTCATGATTTAATTAGAATCAAGTCCAAGTCATAATTCTAGGGAACACACTGGCATTGCTTTCCTCTACCGTTACGATGCTGCTCTCACAGGTAGGAATCCAGAGCAAATAGGAAGGATTAGACAAGGATCACCCTCCTCTCCCTCAAAGTTCTCCAGAACAGCACGCAGAAAACTGTCCCCATTCCCATCTACAACAAATTCTTTTTACCCTGTTAGGAAGATAGGAGCAAGGGAGAGATGATAACCAGGCAGGTGCTGCAACTAAAGCTCAGCCTGCCTTTTCATTTCATGCACATTTGATACCAGTTTTTAATCCAGTGACGCAGTTGCAACTATCCAGGCAAAATCATCTCTCTGTCCTTGAGAAGTCCTTTAAACTACAGCTGTACTCCAGAGCTGCACACAGTTTGCGTGGTATCATGAGTGGCTTCTGCAGTGGTCCAACACCACCAGCACACAACCAACCTGACACTGGTTGAGTAGAGCTTCAGACCATTTCCAAGCCACTCTTCACTTCTGTTTGTACGCTCTCCTAACGCTGTTCCCCTGTGTTAACAAATGTCACAATCAGGCTTGCAGTGCCTGAGCCATTGCCCCCAGCAGGAATGTGAAACACAATCAGCTCCACACAAAGATCCATGCAAGGCTATCTGCATATCTGAAAACCTTTTGTCGATGCACTGACCTCTGACTGCCTGTAAGACCATGCAGGTGAACTTCCAGCTAAAATGCCAGTCTTAAAAGGAATGACATTTTGGGACCAACAGGAGCAAACGTTGCTGGAGAGGCATGCTGTGACACAGCTGGACGCTGACAAAACCAGCCATGATGAGGAACGGAGGGGATGGCTGGAATACAGCAGGCACACTCACTGTGATGAGAGATGGCCCAGATGAGGCTGGGAGATGGGGGACAGATCGCTCAGCGCAGCCTGCTCTGTTGGCCCATCTGGCTCAGCAGGGACAGCCTCCTTTCCCACAGCAGCAGCAGCAGGGGTTTCCTCCACCTTGACTTCCCCACGTGGAACTTCCTCAGCCTCAGTCTTTTGTTTCACCGACTTCTAACAGTGGAAAATTTGTTGAGGAGCACATGATGGTGGGGAGGGAAGAAGGGAATGGGAGCTCTGCCTGGCACTGCAGTGCTGCTTCACTCCTAGCAGACTCAGTGCCAATGGCTTTGCCAGGAAGAGGACAGCCTTACATTACTAATGATCATCTACAGAGCATCTTCATTCTCAGTGTCCTGTAAAGAAACTGAGTCAGTCCTACATCCCTCCCTTGCCAGGAAAGAGAGTGCTGGCTTCCTGAGTTATTGAAAGCAGCAGCAGAAATGGGGGAGAAGTACTCAGTTTGCTCAGAAATGCTCTAGAAAGTGAGGGCAAAGCGAGGAGTGTCCCAAACCATGATTTCAAACAGCATGTTTTAAAATTATCCCCTATCCCCCTAATTCCACTGGTTCTCAGAAAAAAAGATCCCTTCTCTGTTGAAAGTAAGAAATGGTGCAGACATGTTTTCACATAGGCAAGTACAAACTGCACGAATTCTGACACTGAACATCACAGAATCATAGAATGGCTTGAATTGGAAGGGACCTAAAGACCATTCAGTTCCAATTCCCCTGCTATGGGCCACCCATTCGATCAGGATGATCAGGACCAGAGGCACCCAGAGCTTCTCCAGGCAGCCTGTTCCAGTACCTCACCACCTTCTGAGTGAAAAAAAGTCATCCCTAGTTTCTTTTAATGCTTATTGCATCCTGAGACCTCAATCAAGCTTCCGTTTATGGGCCATGCTTCTTCTGCAATTCTTACCCTCTAAAATTCTGGCCTATGCTTATTCTTTAGGAAGCGTATCTGGTAAACATCACCAGTCCTGCACGATCTTTGGTCCTGCAGCAAAACAGCTCCCAGCAAAAGTGCTGTTTCTGCTGGGGACAAAGCTTGCAAACACACACAGCTAAAGGAGGGAGCTGCAAGCTGTGCTCAGCATATTCCAGCTATAAAGATGCCTGACTCAGCCAGATTAAATAACCCCAGTAGATCAATTTGCCATGAACAAAGGATTGTTTACTTGTCCGAAACTGACTCTCTGCACTTCTGAGCAGCCTTCTGCACCACAGAAGTTCCTCCAGACAGTCACTGAGCACTCTGTTGCTCTACCAACAATTCGGAACCCACAGCACCTCAAAGCCCCTTCAAGAGCCCCCAGCTACTGCCCTGCGCCCTCCAGTTCTCCCTGCTGCCCCGTAAGAACCTCAGGATGCCAGCAGCACCTCGTGCCTTAGGATGCCCGGTGGATTTCACAAGGATGCACTCGTCTCCTGCATTGTCATCACTGGCAAAAACATCCAACGGCGCTGACCCGAGCCGGGGGCTCAGCGGTGACAAACAGGGAAACCTGCCGCGCTGCAGCGTGTGCCCAGTGCCTCCGGTCCCGCTGCTGGGCATCGCCAGGCACAGCCGGGCTCCGTCCTCTCCGTGCCTCCCCGCAGGGACCGATGGCCGCGCCCGGGATCCCCCCGAGCCCCTCTTCTGCAGGCTGAGCCGCCCCAGCTCTCCCGGAATCCCACCCCAGCCATTTCCCACGCGCTGCCGAGGAGGGGAGGGGATGCGGGGGAGGAACAGGAGGCGCTCGCAGTGCTACGACACGGCCGGTTGCGCCGCCCCGTCCTTACCCGGCGGAGGGCACGGGGACGGGGCGACTCACCGGAGCTGCAGAAACGACCGCGGGCAGAAGCGCTGAGAAACGAACGGGAAACGTTTAATCGACGAACGCACAGAGCGGCAAACAGAGACACGACCGCGTTCCCAGCCGGCTCCCATCCGAACGGCGACTGCGGAGGACGGCTCGGTGCCGACCGGGGATGGACGGAGCCCCGCGCCGCCTTCCCCTGAGCGCCCGGCGTCCCCGAGGCACGGCGCGGGAGGCGGCAGGGACGCGGCGGGGACGGAGCTCCGCAGGCACCATCATGGTGGCCTCGCGGCTGCAGCCGCCATTGCCGGAGAGCCCGCGCTCAGCCCCGCCTCCGCCGCGCCGCTATTGGTCGTGCCGCAGAACGGGGTCCTTTCATTCCGCGGTCGCGCCGTTGTTGCGTCATCACCGCGCGTCCCGGATGGCCCCGGCCCGGCTGCCATCGCCGATGCCTGTCGCCGCGCGCCCCCTCCACCACCCGTCAGCACACGAGCTGCGGTTCTGGCGACGGCAGCAGGAACTCAGCGCAGCCCTGCAGAGGGCGGTCCGGTGGCACGGGAAGATGACGGCCGTGCAGTGCGAGTGCCTCCGCGGTGTCTGCAGCCCGCGAGGAGCTGAGCGGAGCTGGGGAGAGGAAGGGGTGAGAGTCCCGGGCGGGGACGCGCGATGGCAGCATCTGCGGCAGGATCGGCTGCTTCCTCCTCCTCCGCTCCTGTCGCCGCGCGCTGGTTTCCTTTAGAAGCACCCCGGAAGCCAGAGCCCACTGTCGCATCTGTGGGGTTCCACGGGATGCACAGACGCGGGGTAAGTTTAGCTTGGATATCAGGACGGTCTTCCGTACAGAAAGGGTTGTTAAGCGCTGGCATGGGCTGCCCAAGGAGGGGGTTGAGTCGCCGTCCCTGGGTGCGTTTAAAAACCGTCTGGATGCGGTGCTCAGGGCCGTGATTGAGAGGAGGGAGCAGCCTGGACGGAGCGGTCCCTGAGAGCAGCCCTGCAGAGCCGGACCTGGGGGTCTTGATGGATGAAAAGCTGCACATGAGCCAGCAGTGTGCTGCTGCAGCTGGGAAAGCAAGTGGGATCGTGGGCTGCATCGGAAGAGGGGTGGCCAGCAGGGACAGGGAGGTGATCGTCCCCTTCTGCTCTGCTCTTGTGAGGCCCCATCTGCAGCACTGCATCTGCACATCCAGGTCTGGAGCCCCCAGTACAAGAAAGACAGGGAGCTGTTGGAGAGGGTCCAGAGGAGAGACACAAAGATGATCAGGGGGCTGCAGCACCTCCCCTGCGAGGACAGGCTGAGGGAGCTGGGCTTGTTCAGCATGGAGAAAAGAAGGCTGCGGGGTGACCTCATGGCAGCCTTTCAGTACCTAAAGGGAGCCTACAAACAGGAGGGGAGTCAGCTCTTGGAAAGGGGTGATAACAGCAGGACAAGGGGAAATGGTCTGAAATTGAGGGAGGGAAGATTGAGGTTGGATGTCAGGGGGAAGTTCTTTACGGAGAGAGTGGTGAGGTGCTGGAACAGCTGCTCAGAGAGGCTGTGGATGCCCCGTCCCTTGAGGTGTTCAAGGCCAGGCTGGATGGGGCCCTGGGCAGCCTGGTCTGGTATTGAATGTGGAGGTTGGTGGCCCTGTGTGTGGCAGGGGGCTGGAGATTCGTGATCCTTGGGTCCCTTGCAGAGCCTGTCCATGCTGTGTTTCTGTGAGGGCGGTCAGAGTTAGGGTGTGTTTAGGTCGTGGTTGGAATGGATGATCTTGAAGGTCTTTTCCAACCTGAGTGATGCTGTGATTCTGCGGGGACGCTGTGTGTGGGACTGCTGTTCAATGCAGAGCACCAGCACAGGGCAGGCCTGGGGACTGGGCTGATGGGGATGGAGAGGGCAGTGTGCGGCCGTGGGCTCCTCAGGTGGTCCCAGGAAACATCTCCACGTGTCTGCAGCTGTGTGGAGGTGTGCGCGTCTCCTGCTGTACCAGAGATGGAGGGGATGGCGCTGACTGAGGGCAGGGACTGGAGCAGCACAAAGGAGCCGTGAGGCGGCCGCAGTCAGTTTGGCTGCAGCACAGACAGGTGGCCCTGCTTTGGGTTTGGCAGTGTGGAGAAATGTTCTCCATGTAGTTGTGCCCCTGTGGCTTCTTTCTGATGTGCCTGGGAAGTCCCACTGGAATAGGCTGCAGGCAGAGGCCTGATACAACATCACTTGTGTGGGTGGAGTGTTACTATCTCCGTGTTCATCTATTATGTTTGTTTGTTTCATTTCAGCTCTATGGTGCCAATCTGCCTTTGCTGAATCCTTTCCTTGTGGCCTCAGGCAACAATCAAGGGGTCTCAAGTTTCAGTGCTGAGCAAAAAGTGCAGGCACTCAGGGAGGCCATGAAGGGCTTTGGGAAGTTGATCTCCTTCCCTCCACGGGCCAACTTTTATTTTTGCCCCAGCACACGAATGGCTACACCACAAATGGTGGTTTGTTAGAGGGAAGCGCAGCTGCTTGCATTGCTCTGCTGCACAACTGCCCTAAAAATCGTTGGGCAGTGGAAGCAGAAGTGCCCTTCATGTCCCAAAATGCAGCTGCTCTGGTGGTGTGGTCCTGGCAGCTTTGTGTGCACAGATGGAGTCCTGGGGCTGTTGAGAGCCGGCTGTGTAGGGGCCTGGAGGTGGCACAAGAGCAGAGGGCACTTTGATTCCTGCGCAGGCAGCCTGACCAGCTTCCATTTGTTTCTTGCAGGCACGGATGAAGATGCCGTCATCGAGATCTTGACCAAACTCAATGTTTGCCAACGTCAGCGCGTTCTGATCACCTCCAAGAGCACTCCTGGCAGGGCAGGTGCTCTGCAGAGATGTGAACGTGGTTGTGTCACTTGGTGAAAAGCGAAAGACGACCCGGCCTCCACCAGAGAAAGGTCAGCAGAGACTTTACCTGACCAAGGTCGTTTTGTTTCTGTTCAGTTCAGAGCAGCTGTCGATGCGAGGAGGGTTGGAGCCTGAAGAGAAGCGGTGAGCAGCTCAGTTCCTTCTGTCCTCCAAGGCCGTGCCTCTGCCAACTGCTTTCTCCTCTCCTGGCCGTCCAGGATTTGATTGATGACTTGAAGTCGGAGCTGAGTGGGAATTCTGAGAGGGGATCATTGGGACGAGGACTGCCAGCACCATGTATGGCATGCAGAACTAAGGAGGGCGGTGAAGGCTTGGAAGTCTTCCTTTCGTATGGCTTAAGTTCTGGCCAAGGACTTCCTGCTTTGCTGTGCACGTCTTCTTATGGATTAAACTCCTAAGGAAACCTGGTTGCACGTCACGAGCAGTTGCTGGTATCTGAAACCTTGCCTTGGCGATTCCCTAGGGAGCAGGAACAGATGAAGGTCGCTGATGGAAACTGTGGCTTCTCCCAGCAATGAAGAGATTCGTTGCTTTGATGAGAACTGCAAGCTTCGTAAGCAGAGCAAAAGGCCAGGCCTTGTCCTGCTGCCTGACATCAGTGTGTGTGTGCAGGCAGATGTGAAGAGGGGAGTTTCTAGGTGTGACAAACTGGCCAACCTGGGAGTTGCCGTTTGTGCAGAGAGAAGCTAGACTGGAATTTCACCAGGAACTGAACTGGTGTAAGTGAAATGGGGAGGAGCATTCTGTCTGTCTGTCGGGGGACGTGTGGCTCTCTTGCCAGTTTCTTGCTGTCTGCGCTTCTTAATTGGAGGCTGCAGCACTGGTGATGATGGCTGGAGCGCTGCAGTGATGCTGAGAGCTCTGGGCCCAGTTCTGCACTTAGCGGGTTATGGCTGGCAAATGTTGTGGGCAGCACCCAGGTGGTGGCCCTGCTCATAACAGATGCTGTGTGTGTGTTCTTGTGACCGCCATTGGGGTAGAAGGGAGAGGAGCTAAAAACTTGATTGGCAGCACAAAGCAGCAGGACTTGAAAATGGTAATAGCTGTGCTAGGCCAATTAGCAAGACTGTTAGCAATGAAAAGGAATTATTTCTGTGGGAGGATCCTGATGTAGCTGACAGTGCTGCAGGAATGATAGAATGTTCATGCAGTACATGAGGAGCTCGTTGTTGCAAAGTGGTCCTTTGAATCTCTCTGGCTTTCTGCCATGGATTCTTCCCCCTGGTTTTTGATGGTACAGAGGCACTGCTGACAAGGACATAACAGACAGCGTTAAATCTGAGATGTCAGGAGACCTGGAAGGTGCTTTGCTGGCTGTGGGTGAGCGCCCTGCTTTCAAACCTTCTCTGCAAAGCAATGAAATGATGAGAGGTGCTGTGTCTGCCCTCAGCGGCTGTCACGCGGTTTCAGGAGGCAGTCGTGGTTTGTCTTTGTTTGTGAGCACAAAGTCAGGCTGGGTGGGACTTGGAGCGCCCTGGTGTAGAGGGAGGTGTCCCTGCCTACTGCAGGGGGGTTGGAACCCAATGATCTTAGGCGTCCCCTCCAAACCAAACCACTCTATGACTCTGTGCTTCACAGTCAGGTGAGAAAGCTTTGTGCTTTATGGCACGGTGTGCTTGGCCAAAGGGAGCTTTGGCAGCAGAGGTTTGCTGTCAGGAGACATGAAGGCCTTTGTGCAAATCCTGCTGTGCTGCTGCGCTGCCAGGCACAGAGACATCAGCTCACAGCACATCACTGACTGCATGCCTGCACTGCAGCTGCTGTTTGTTCACCTGGAGTTGCATCTTGACAGAAGAAACAGCAGCACCAAGGAATTGCTGCAGCGGTGTGGAAACCGCTGCTTTTACTGGCCTTAATCCTCTTGTTCTTGTCTCATTACAGTCAGGCGCGTGCGAAACGAGCCTGCGTGCTTTGCTGGAAGGCTGTGTAAATCCACGAAGGTAAACAGATTGTGGAGTAAGATTGCTTGCTTCTTTCTTGCATTTCCGTGCTCGAGTCAGCCAGCAGCACCTTGGCAGTCATGCAGCAGTCCGGAAACTGGCAGTTCCAGGACAGATCAGGCTTTTCTGCACATCAGGGTAACAGCCATACTCAGGAGTCAGCTGCTGCTCATGGATCGCTCCGTGAATGCAAAAATGCTGTCATGAAGAGCAGCTCCTGCACAGGACCGGGCCCTGAGCCCTTTGTGTCTGCAGGTGATTCTCCAGCAGTTTTGTGTTGGCTGCACGTGGCTGCTTTGCTTTCCGGGGCCTGGGAGCAGGCGACAGCACTGCGATCAGAGCGATGGTGTCCCGCTCCGAGATGGATGTGCTGGATATCAGAAGAGAACTCCTGACCATAGGAAGTCTCTCTACACCTTCACGAAGGTAAACTTGTCGATGTTGGACACAAACAGTGGGATTTTCTGAGTGCCTTTAAGGACTGATCCCCCCTTGACACCTGTTGGGTATTTTAGAGCAGCTGGGATGAAGCAGACCTTACAAAAACGTACTGAAAATGCTCCTGAATATTGCTGAATTGCCTAGGATACGAACGCTGCAAAAAGAAATCTGTCTTAAGGAGAATTTTACTTGAGTAAAATGTAAGAATTATTCATCTTCCTTTTGTTTCTTTTCTCAGTTACTCAGTTTGTTCTGACCTTCTCTCTTCCTCTCCTCTCCTTCCTTTCTTTCTACCTTCTCGCAGGGTGGGACCCTACAGGTGCTGGCCATCAGACCCCCCACCCCAAAGCGTCCGGCTGCCAGCAGTGGGTGAATTCACTGGGACTTTGGGGATGGGAGGTGCTAACCAGAGAGTCTTCAGTTTCCACTCCTCAATTCAGGCTTGGAAGCACGCTAAAAATGGGAAATAGATCTGGTGTAGGAAGGGGATGTCCTCAGCCAAGGTCCTGGGAAACTGGAGGAGAACGGATGAAACTGCAGATGTACCAACAAACAGGAAAGCACACGGCGCTTGACTTGGAGGGTTTGTGGGAAGGTCAGCCTCCCTGAGTTTATATTTCAGCCATCGTCCTCCATACTGGAGAGGCTTTACCTGCTTGGCGTGCTTAATTGCAGCACATTGCACGCGTGTGGATAACTTGTGCTATAGCATCCTTGATCCAGACCCCATTTCCATGTTGCATCTCTTAATGTCCCGCGGTGTCACAGGTGCACCGAACTGCAAATAACTCCCTCGTGGTGTTACTGTAAAAGTTTGCCAAGTGAAGCTATGGATGCTTCATCCCTGGAGCTGTTCAAGGCCAGGCTGGGCAGCATCACCCAGGGAGTGGCATCCCTGCCCAGGGCATCGGGGTTGAGCTTCTAGGTTCTGTACCATCCCTTCCATCCCAACCCATTCCGCTGTTCTGCGTTCCTGTGATGCAATCCCCCACCCTGGTGCAGTGCATCACAGTGGGAGCTGCCAGCGGGGAGCCTCCGCCTGGCATCACAGAGCCGTGAGGTCGCGATGCCCCGTGCTCTGCTGTGCTGAGCTCACAGTGCCTGGCTGTGACGCCGTGCCGCAGGCATCGCTCTGTGCGACTCACTGTGGCTGTAGCGGCGGTGGTGGAAGCATGGTGCGAGTGTGGGGGGCCATGGCCTCTGCCCGCCTTGTCTTCCTCTTCCTCCTGATGGCCGTGTGTTTCTGGGAGACCTGCGCTGCTCCGTGGCGAGCACTGGGAGCAGGTGGGTGGGCAGAGACGGGACCAAACCTGGGCAGCGCTGGGGGCAAGAAGTCAGGCTGCGTCCCCACGGCCCTGTGCCGCTCTTCCCTGGGGCTGCCTTCCGGGGGAGTGTGGGGGTGTTGGGCAGGGGGTGATGAGCAGCACCGCAGGAGCCGGGCAGGAGCCCGTGGCAGCGCTGCTCCCCAGGCCTGGCTCCAGCATGCTGGGCCGTGGCTCTGCTCCTCGCTGGCTGGAGCACAGCCTTCATCCTGGGAGGGAGGCGTCCTGGGGAGAGCTCAGAAGATGCGTGCTGGGAGACGTGTGAGCGTTTTCTGCCCCAGCCTTGTGGTACGCCCCATCGATGACTCCCAGTTTCAAACACAGCCCCGGCCCACAGCTCAGAGGAGGAGACAGATGTGCTTTCCTCCAGGGCTTCAGGGCAGCCTTCCTTTGTGTGCATCAGAGCCCTCCCGGTAAGAAAGCCCCGAGGGGCTGCATCTTCTTCCTTGCAGTCTGTGAGGGATGCGGCACGTGGCCTGGAGGGAGCCTTGTATGCCCTGCCAGGTGCCAGCCTGCAGCTCATCCTGGCCGCTCTGCAGCTTTGGAAATCGGGACCCGAGTCCTTCTGCCAGCCCGTCCCACAACCCACCCACATCCAGTTACTGTGGGGGAAGGAGATCACGCCGTGCAGTGGGACCTTCTCTCATCTGTTCTTGATTGTAGATGATGAGCTCGGTGCTCTGTATCTGGATGATCGCCTGGATCCACATTTCATGCCTGTGCCCGAGGGACAGCCCAGAGGTAAGTTGTGTCTGTTTCCTTGAAGGCAGAAACATTCATGCCCTCATAGTTTACTCAGGTGCAATTTTACTTAGGATCCTCTCAAGGTCTTCCAAGTCTGTGCCTTGAAGGGCTTGCACAGATGAACCTTGAGTGTTTCTTTGCTGGGAGAGCTGCCACATTTGGGTGGGAAGGTCTCCGCTGCCCCTCTTCAGCTGAGAGAGCCCAGAGCTTCGTATTTGGGCCGTGCCATTCCCTGACCCACCACCAGACCTCACAGGTCTGCCAGTGTTACAAAGGAGGCCCCCGCGTGCACTGGAAGCTCTCCTCACCTGTGTGACCACACTTGTGCCTGCAGGCCCTGCTGGCGAATCAGCGGAACGGGATCCTGTCCGTGAGCCTGAGGGGAATGCTGGAGGTAAGTCACCAGGCTTCGTTCCCTTGATATTTGTTCATGTGTGGCTGGGAGAGTTCAGCAAGGCTTCTGCTTTTCACCGGCCAGTGGGTTCTTCTCCGTGGGAAGCATGGGGGGTTGTTGTTTCCTGGGTGCTCTGCGCTCTCGGCGTCGTGTTGGCTTTGCCTCTGTATCTCAGAGGTCTCGCAGTGAGACAAATGGAAGCAGCTGAATGCTGTTCTGGGAGGTCTCTGAGAATTGTGTCCCGTGGCCTGGATGAAGTATTTGTAAAGCTGTGGAATACCAGCCGTCAGGTCACCGGGCCTCTGCAGCTTTGGAACTTTTGCCCCATGCCATTAATTGAGCCCCTTCCATCACCGCAGGTCAGTAAGGAACAGAGGTGGGCACATGCCATGGAACGTCTCTCAGCTGCCCTGGATTCCAGCCGTGTCTCCAGGCAGCGGCTACCAAAGCCCAGCTTCAATCCGGTCCCTGAGACGCGGGGCGATCCCCCAGCTGAGTCCCTGAGAGGTTTTAGTTTTCATTCAGGTTTTAATTTTCTTTCCTGCTTCCTCTGTGGAAGAGAAGGGAAGATACGGGTCAGGCTGTGTGCAGAGTGCAGTGCCTGCCTTGCAAAGCCGTCTTTGCTGGCCGCTCCAGCCCTGAGCTGCTCCCGGTGCCTTGTGCAGAGCCAGCGGCACCACGCAGTCGAGCTGAGGGCTGAGCTCCAGGAGGGCGTTCCTCTGGGCAGCCCCGCGCGGTGCAAGTTCTGTACAATCGTGGTGCCCCTGCACGTACCTGGGAACTGCTCCCGAGGTGCTCCTGTGTGGAAGGGAGAGAGCAGTGTCACGAAGGAATCCCCTGCTTTAATTGCATCCCGCGTCGTTCCGATTGGGAGGATGCTTAATTAGAGCTGCTCTGTGCTGCGTTTGTTTGCAGATGTGAGTGGAGGAGGTGATCTAGCTTCCCCTCTGAGCTCCGAGACTGAAAGCCGGGCGCACGGCATGGGTAAGTCACGGCTCTGTAACTCCTTGGAGAGCTCTCACTGCCCGCTTCGTGCCACTTCATGGCACTGCTTCCCCCGTGCGCTCCGCTGTTCAGCGATGCTGCTGTGCACGACTGAAACTTTTCGTGGGTTGCAGAAGTGCCCCAGGGAGGGCTTTGCTCAGTCGCTGGTTCGTTCCTGCGCTGGAGCCCAGGTGGATGCCCAGGGGTGGTGGTTTGTTTTACTGCTGGCGCTGACTCAGCAGTGGTCTTCAAAACCTCGTGCTCGTGGCATTGAACTTCATGCGTTCCGTGCAGGTCTGGAAAGGGGAAAGGATGAATCGGAAAGAGGAAAATTCTCTGAGGAGTCTTACCTTCCAAAAGAACTGCTGAGGGGAACGGAAGCGGCAGTTCATGGTGGGTGTACTTCAGTCTGTTCGCTGTGAGACTCGGGAAGCTGAGCTCTGATGTCCGTGTGCAGCCTGCACAGCAGCAGGGCATTGCTCAGAGCCGTGCTGCAGCGGTGTCCCACGTGCCAGAGAAGCCTGTGTGATGCTGCTCACCTCTCACCGCTCCCGGTTCCCAGAGGGCTGTGAGCTTTGTCCTTTTGGGAACGAAGCCTCCCGACGGTGAGGAGGTGAAGGTAAGGTGGGACGTTGTTGTTTCTTCCAGGGATGAACGCAGGGAAGCAGCAAAGGATGCAGGGAAGCACAAAGGCTGCTGCTGGCAGATCTGCGCGGCAGCGCCACGCGGCAGTGGTGGTGCTGTTCTCAGCTGTGCTGCTGTCTGCGCTGCTGCTGGCCTGCGTTGCTGCGTCATGGCCGTGGAAGAAATGCCTGTGAGTTGTCTTTCTCCCCCAAACACTTCGTTGCTGCATTTGGCAATGAAGCATTTGTGGTGCCGGGATCCTGGGCAGCCGGATCAGCTGCTGGCAGCAAGCTGCCAGGATTTATGTTGCAAGGTCTTCTAAGTTTGCCCTTATTTCCTGTCAGTGAGTAGTGCTTTCTGAAACTCATTTTCACAGTGTGTTCAAGGGGGGAGAGAGAGCAGCAGAGCGAGCTCATCCTGACACCGACTGGGAGCGAGTTCCAAGTGGAGATGAAGGGAGAGCGGAGCTGGGAGAGGCAACGAGCGAGATCCTTGCCCAAGCAAACAAGAACCTCAGCGATAGTTCCAGTCCGTTCCGTTCTGCCATCCCAGAGGCCAGAGATCTTCAAACTCACCTGAAAGACCTGGAGCGTGAACTCCAAGCCATGAAAGGGGTCCATGGGGGCAGTGGTGAGTGCTGCTTCCTGTCAGAGGACGGCCCTGAAAGTGAGAGCGGAGGATCAGCAGCAGAGCGTTTGTCCTTCACCCTCCGTTCCCCGGGACGAGTATCACCAGTAGTTCGAAGGCTCTTAGCTCGCCACAGCTACGATCCTTTTGAGGGTCCTAATGAGGACCCAGAAAGCGAGCTTCCTCTGACCGCCGGGCAGCACGTTTATGTCTTTGGAGACGTGGATGAGGACGGCTGGTTTCTGGGAGAGCTGACGGATGGCACGAGAGGGCTGGTCCCTTCCAGCCTGGTGACGGAGGTTTCAGATGATGAGCTGGACACAACGATGCCTCCCGAGCTCTGTGGTCTCCTGCTGGACACGGATGATTGTGTCGATGCAAAGAGTCCATAATGCAGCAACATCCTGTGGCGATTCTTGCCTCACTCCATCTGCAAGACGACCCCCTGCTCCACTTGACTTGAGTGAAGTGTGAGCAGGATGTGGATGAGCTCCTCCTGGTTCGATCTGAGATGACTGGCAGTGCGACTGCATGGTGTTATTCTATATTAAAAAATACTTTAAAAACTAACTAACAACACTGTTCTTTTCGAGGATACATTGAGGTGATACATTTTCTAGCTGAGATTTTGCAGTGAGTCTTGAAGCAGGTTTGAACTGGTAGAAGTTGGCCGCGTTTGCATTCTGTTTTTCATATTTCCTTGCTGATCAGAGTCAAGGTGCCGTGCATCCCTTCCCCGCCTCTGGTTGCCCCCCTTCACCGTGAAGAGGAGCAAGAGCTTCTGGCACAGAAGTACGTCTGTGTGCAAGGCTTAAACTTCACGCGTCTTCCTTCTTCTCTGCTCGGTAAAGCTCGGCGTTGGGCTCCTTTGGAGTCTGAGTGCTGGTTTCTGGGGCAGTCCTTAGCTGGAGGCTGGAGTGCCTCAATCAGCTGTGGCGGTGCAACTCCCACGCCCCACGTCCTCCCCCTTCTGCCAGGCCTCTCAGTGCTTGGTGCACTGGGACAAAAGGTGCAGGACCAGTACGTGAAGGTGCTCCTCTGTGCCTCTCCCCTGCTGGCCTCCGTGTAGCCAATGGCAGTGAATAGGAGCCTTAGGGGGTGCCTGGATTGGCCCTGCCTTCTGCCTCGTGTCCCATTGCCCGGGGCCAATCCTGGGGTCAGTCGTCTCCTGGCAGCCCGTCTGGACACAAATCCCGGCCCCGTGTGGAGTGGTTTGGAATTTGTGAGTTCAGCAAGTTCTCAGCTTTGTGCAACTGCTGGAAAGAACCAGGTTTTGCCCTCCAAGGGGGCCGGAAAAGTATCCGGCAGATCTCCATCATCTCAGACCCTGCAGTTAGAGGTTCTTAGTGAGTGTTAATGCTTATCAATACCCGAGGGCAGGTGGGAGGAACGTGGATGAAGCCAGGCTCTTCAGTGGTGTGCAGCGGTGGGACAGCGAGCAGCGGCCTAGAACTTGAACTCGGAAGTTCTTGCTCTTCTTCCATCCACCTCCTTCCTCACTTATCTGTTTTAATGATACGTGTTTGTTTCACAGCAGTAGGTGCTGAGAGTTTCCCTGTCCACATTTGCTTTGCGTGTTTGCGTGTACGTTCACCTATGAGAGTATCTGCTCTCCCATGGTTTGGTATGGGATGTCCCGTCAGCAAGTGAGTGTGAATCTCGTCATCTGCAAATCTATCATCAGGTCCCTATTTCATTTTTCACCTATTTCTTAAAATGCTGCTAAGCAGAACCGAGCAAAATAGATTTGCCATTTCCTGCAATGCCAAATTAGCAGAGATGGCAGGATGATGAGCAAAGCCGCCGAATGCTTGCAAAAACGTGATGTCCAAACAAAGCCTGTGTTCCCTGAGGTTTCAGCTTATGGCTACTGACATAAGCAGGAAGAGGTAGGAAAGCAGTTGGCCGATGCTGGAGGTTCAACCGGATGGGAAAGGTAGAGGTATAATCTGCCAAATGTTGGCTGGAAGTGTGTCTGAAACCTGCCTGCAAGGAGAGGGGAAAACTAAAGCATGAAATACAGGATTGACAAGAAGAGATCAGTGGGTGTAATGCACTGAGCTGCTGTTATCGTTGAGGATGGAGCAGCTGCAAAATCTGCTTCAAGAGTTTCATGGCCCCGAGTTGGCTGGAAGCGTGGATCTGCCTGGGGGCAGCGAGGCCCTGCAGAGGGATCTGGACAGGCTGGATGGCTGGGCTGAACCAATGGGCTGAGGCTCAACAGGACCAAATGCAGGGTCCTGAACTTTGGCCACAACAACCATTCCAACAGCAAGTCCATCCCAGCGCCATTCCTGGTTCAAGCATCCCTCGTTGCCACGCAGCACCGCAGCAGCCAAGCTCCAGTCCCTTTCCCAGTGTCAGTAAGATCAGTTTGTTCTCTTCTCATCCGCTGAGAGGAACAGAAGCTTCCTGCCCCCCAAGGCTTGTGACAGGTATTTCCCTAGAGCAGCATTCATGTCCTTCTTCCGGCCCCTTTTGCCATTTCCAGCTCTCCAAATTGAGACGTACGGCTGCAGCCCACCCCAGGGCTTCTTTGGGGCAGCTCTGCGGCACCCCATCCCAAGGAGCAGATGCCTTTTCCCCACACACCATTGGTTCTATGGCCACATGGGGTGAGGACACAGGGTCGTGGGTCACGTGGAGGTGGGGTGGGGGCAGGGATCCCAGAGCTCTTGGACAACGTGGCGTTTGGTCGCAGCCTGATGGGGGCAGGCGGGGTCACAGGGTCATGTGGGGGTATGGCTCACACAGGGCTGTGGGTCTCGTGCAGCCATGGGGTCACGCACACCCAGGGTTCTGTGGTCATCTTGGGGTACGGCTCACGGAGAGTTACGGCTCAGCACCCAGCCTTTGGGCCACAGGGACCCCCAGTTCCCTCTCAGGAAGAAATGAAACCACTCCTACACCGCCCCACGCCTCCCCTTTTTACCTCAAACCGCTCCCCACATGCCCCTCTTCCCCCCTGTGTCTCCATACCACCCCACACCCCAGCGTCCCACCTGCAGCCCACAGCTTGACTTGTCCAGAGAGCCCTGTGAGCTGGGGGGCTCCTGGCGTCCCCATCCCAGCAGCGGGTGCTGCGTTCAGGACAGTTGGGTGGCCACAAGTGGGGACCCTTTGGGGTAGGGAATGGGCTCTCGTTGGGTCACCCTGCACATGGCAGCCCGGAGCCCTCAGCCTCACCTGGACCTGGAGCTCTCCTTCCGCAGGAAGCTCCTGATCCGTCTGAATTCTCCTCCATCAGCGCTGTCTGAGCTCAGCCGTTTGATGACGGTTGGACGGCCAGCAAATCTCACTGCAGTGGGGAAGGCAGAGGAGATTCACCGTCAGCCCTTTGGCTCGCTCACCAGGGGCGCTCAGGCCTGCTCCCACAACAGCCCAGAGGGCCGCTCTGCTCCCCCCGCTGCTGCCCTCAGACCCTCCCTGACAGCATCCCTGGCCCCACTCCTCCTCTCTGCCATTCAGCTCTGTTTTGGGACTGCATTTGTGGCGTTGGCTTTGGGAAAGAGGAGCTGGGTGGCGATGATGAGGTGGCAGGGTGGTTTTTGGGGACCGTATCCTTGCACTGGGGAGGGCAGGGCCTAAGATCCGCACATCCTCCCGACAGAGCCAGGGATGAGGGCACGTCGCACACAGCGCCTTAGTGAGGGAGAGGCCAGCAGTTCCTCATGGGAAGAGGCCATGATGAGCTGGTGTGAAGCTCTGACACAAGTCAGAGACCGTGGCTGATGGTCAGCAGGGGATTTCCATCTCCAGCATGTTGCCCGTGCCACCGGAGGAACTGGCAGCTGCTTTACCTTCCTTGCCCTGGTCCTGAGGTGGCGAAGTGCCTCCTTGCTTTGGCGTCTCCTGACCAGAGAGGCTTCCTGAGGACTTGCGGTGTATTGCGGGAGGTGGTTTGGGTGCAAACTCCATTTGAAACCTGCGGGACAGGAGAAGACAGCGAGCGGTGTGACGCAGCGCTCCAGCACTCCTTGCTGCTCTCTCTGTCTGCTCACAGGCACATTTTCATGCTGCATTAAGCACACTGCTTTCTAAAGCCTTTTGCAGGGTCAGTCGGGATACGTGAAGGGGAAACAGTTTCAAACGGCGGGAGGGAAGCTTTAGATTGGATGTAAGGCAGAGGTTTTTGACAGAAGGATGGCAAGGCAGCGGAGCATCTTGCCCAGAGAGGTGGTGGGTGCCCGGACGGGCTGTCAAGGTGGGGCTGGACCAGGCTCAGAGCAACCTCCTCTGGGGGTAGGAGTCCCTGTTCCCTGCGGGGCAGTGGGACGAGGTGCCCTTTCGGGGTTCCTTCCAGCTCAAATCATTCGGTGACTCCATGACACACGGGCAGGACAGACACGGACACGGAACAAGCGCTCCCAGCTCAGAGAGGCAGCTGCGGCCGCCTTGCTGTATTTCATGGGCTCCACCTTCCTAAGGACGGAAAAATGCGAGGGACAGAGTTGATGGTAGGGTTGGTTTTCCACAGGTGCTTCTCTAGAAGTGCTTCTGGTGGACATCAGCCAGAACGGCCCCATGTTTGGACGGGCTCCTCAGAGGGGGAGGTTTGCTTTTGAGGATGGAGGCGGTGGCCGTTTGCCCTGTCCACGAAGTCAGCAAAAGTTGAATCCCCCCTCCTACCTGGCAGGGACTCCTTGTGGGGCTTGAGGTGGTGCGTGGCTGTGAGGTTTGAAGCCAGGTTAAACACGGGCACGGCAGAATCATGGTCCCAACCTCAGTCTGGACCTCTTTGGGGACGGTGTCAAAGGTGCCGAAGGTGGGAATCCAGACCCCCTGCAAGTGGAAGAGAAAGGAAGGGCGGAAGGGTTATGGGACGGCCGGAGGAAGAGCCGAGGGGGGTCCGACGTAGGGGCAGAGCTCAGAAGCCCTCTGCCACCATTCAGAGGCACGAGCCAGCGCATCGGGCATGGCTTTGGGAAGGGGCTGCACGGTCCTCTCCTTCCCCTCGCCCTCCCAGATGCAGCACAGCAGGCAGTTTCCAGCCATTCCCCTTTGTCCTGTCTCCACTCCCCACTGAACAGAGTCCGGCCTCGCCATTCTGCCCCCCACACCTCAGATACTGATAGACCTGGATCAGGTCCCCTCTCAGCCTTCTTTTCTCCAGGCTGAACAGACCCAGTTCACTCAGCCTTTCCTCATAGCAGAGATGCTCCAGGCCCCTCGCCATCTTGGTGGCCCTCCGCTGGACTCTTTCCAAGAGATCCCTGTCTGTTCTGTGCTGGGGAGCCCAGAACTGGACGCAGAGCTCCAGATGAGGCCTCAGCAGGGCAGAGCAGAGGGGGGGATCACCTCCCTCGACCTGCTGGCCACGCTCTGTGCAATGCACCCCAGGATGCCATTGGCCCTCTTGGCCACAAGGGCACACTGCTGGCTCATGGCAACCTGTCGTCCACCAGGACACCCAGGTCCCTCTCCGCAGAGCTCCCCTCCAGCAGCTCATCCCCATCCTGTACCGCTGCATGCAATTATTCCTCCCCAGATGCAAGACTCTACACTTGCTTCTGTTAAACCTCATCCGGTTTCTTGCTGCCCAGCTCTCAGCCTGTCCAGCTCTCGCTGAA